GTGGCAAGTAAGTTACGGGTCAGTTTAATCATTATGATTACTGCTACTCGAGCGTCGTGAAATTGACACATGCAGTTATGGGTGACTTTAATTGGCGGTTAGTATACTCGGCACTTTACTTGAAGGTGGTGAAAGAGGCCCTTAAACTAGTGCAAAAGCCTTTTTTTTTTTTAAGGGGGGAACATCATCGAATGACTGCTCCCGCCTGGGTGAGGCGGGAGGGAGTGTCAGACTCTTACTGACTAAAAACCACCCCGTTCCTTCTCCTGCACGTCGAGCCGGAGCCCCGGTTACCGGTTAGGTTCTCCGCGACTAGTGCAAAAGCCTAGGGCGCCAGGTTACCGCGGTAAGCCTAACGGGTTGCCGGGGTTCCGGCTCGAAGAGCAGGAGTAGGAACGGAGTGGTTTTTAGTCAGTAAGAGTCTGATACTCTCTCTCGTCTAACTCAAGGCTGGAGAAGTCATTGGATGATTTTTCCCCCTCAAAAAAAAAGGGGGCCGGTTGCAAAGAAGCGCTGTTAGAATGACGGCGGCGCCAAAAAATTCAAAGGCTTCTATGACGTGATTGCCTAGTGCGCTCTCTAGATTAAACCCGCCTCTGAAAGTAACATTAAAGTAGATATATTTTAATTAATTTTATTGTAAAGTGTAGTATGTAGTTTCGTTAACGATAAGTGTGGGAGAGCCATACTTCGACACGAATGGGCCGGCTCAAAACAACGCTTGCGTTGTTTCGTCGTGTGAGTGGGCTTACCGGAGTCCTTATCCCCCCCCCTCCCCCTCTTGCCAGTCTCCCCAATCCTCGAATCCCCATATTCCACAAATTTCCAATTCCCAAAAGGCCGGTAACGTACTTGTAATGCCTCTGGTGTTTCAGGTGTCCATGGGCTTCCGTGATCCGTCTGCTCGTGCTCCTACTTATCCCATAAAAAATAACAGGGAAGCCTATTTTGCTGGTTTCTCCACATTATTACACTATTTTATCCGTTCGTCAGATATCAGTCGATAATTCACACAAATCCATTGATAATTTACTGATTAATCCGCATTAACTTGAGGATTAGACGAAAAACGTGAATATTGAATCAGTGCTTACTTCATTAGGTACATATACAATATGAATTACGCTAAAATGAAGTACCTAGGTATGAATGTGTAGATATGTCGTGTAAAATTGCCGTCTTACACAATCAATTTCAGTACAAAGGTTCCTAAGTAGTTAAAACCTATTTCTATAAGTGCATCTTTCCCCGTGTCCTCGGAAAACATACATATTTCATTTATGATTGTCAACTGAGAACTATGAGAACAGACCATAATTATTTTATATTGCCTTTATTACTAAGCACGAACGTGGTTATCGTAGGTGCCTATCGCTATAACGTCATTTCTTAATAATTTACAATTTTACATATCAATTAAATACCTATTTCACTAGTCGTAATGTTTATACCTGTTCACCTAATTCATAAACATTTAGAACACAGAACTAGACTAAAGTAAACAATAATGAAGTAAAATTATTACACGAAACTTTAATTCCATGTGCACATAGCCTTGGGATTCGATGTAATTGTTCTAGCCGAATTTAGTATCGAAAATATGCAGAACACAACATGAACAATGGATTCCTAAACAAACGAAATACCCAATTCCCTAATTAGTGCGAATTAATTACGACTCAACTTCTTCTAAAGTTCAATAGTTCATGATTCCTGACCTTGTCCTAAATGTTTTTGGTAGACGTTATGTGCATAATTAAATTATAAGATGACCTATTGTTTACACGAGTCGATGAACGTATCATTAATAGGTACAGTGATATAAAAGTCATAGGACCAAAAATATTTCTGGAAAACTGCGTTTGACCATAACGAAAGGGGAATACATATAGGTACTCAGTTCTCTGGAAAAAGAGAAGAACAAGGGGCCACCCTGTGCCATAGATCGAAGATCTCAGTACTATCAACTATGTCAATTAGTGAAATCCGAAAAAACTATAGCTAGTCTAGCTATATTATTTTACACTGCCCGAAAAGGTACCTACATCCTACCGAGAGACGAAGCACATCGATACCTCTGGCTAACTAGTTACTGGTTGCATTTTGCACATTTAAATAACAAAAACATAATGCATTATACTCAAAGCAATGATCCTATGTCTGTTATCACATATACATAACATAACATAACATCACGCCTTTTATCCCCGAAGGGGTAGGCCGAGGTCCACACAGAAGTAACATTAACTTTTCACTATTTATGTTATGAGTCCCATGTAATAGGGGGTGAGCCTATTACCACATACCGGGCACATTTCTAGACTCCGTGCTACAAATTGAGATTTTTTTTAAAAACGGTAATACTTTGCCCGACCCGGGAAGCGAACCCAAGACCACTTGCCAGGTAGTCGCACTTGCGGCCAGTCGGCCAACAAGGCAGTCTGTTATAATTATAAACAACTCTAAAAACATAAAGAATTAGTTTTTATTGTTGATAGAGCACATAGTTTTATCAATTGTCTACACACAGCTGTTGTACTGTTGGTGAATTGAATACCTTCGCATCGACACGCGACGGTATGCAATACGTCATCCATTATCGATATATTTAATCTAGTAATTTATAAATTCACGGCTCTAGTTTCAAAGCAGGTATTTATTATTATTATGTATGTAGATTATTATGATGATAATCCCGCTACCCGCTTCCGGCTTTGGTAACGCAGCAATATTTATAATCCTTTAACTCTTAAACTGTCAAACACCAAGCGGTCACCGGTGACCGCAATCTGTTGTTCTATAATTGTGTCTACAAAACCGGTACTCGACGAGTTAAACTGTCAAACACCAAGCGGTCACCGGTGACCGCAATCTGTTGTTCTATAATTGTGTCCATAATGACGGTACTCGACGAGTTAATCTTCTAAGTTTCCAAAAATAGACCAAAAATCTATCCAGCTATCCTTGAGTTTTAGGCAGACTATTTTTCTTATAAACATGCATGCATACACACGCAACAATGTGGATGACATTTTGATTTTCTTACCGCAGTTACCGCTTGAAAGAGTGAAAGTGAGCCAGCCGTTCTTGAGGTTTAGCCAGACAGTCTAACAGACTGCGAACACAAACTTACTTAATTTAATGGCACGTGTCTATGTATTAATGCCTCTATCTTGAAGATTTATCCTTACCTACTATAATATTATAAATCGGAAAGTGAGTTTGTTTGTTTGTTTGTTCCGCTTTCACGCAGTAATTACTAAACCGATTGCTCTGAATTTTTGCAGACGTAAAGTTCGAATTGCGGATTAAATAATAGGGTACTTTTATCCCGGATATTCCCGAGGGAAAACAAAAGTATTGGTATAGATAGCGCCATGTGTATTGATATATGTGTATATACCACATAGGCTACTTTTTATCCTTTTGTGACGCGAGTCAAGCCGCGGGTAAAAGCTAGTTAAAGATAATGACAACAAATAGACTGGTACTCGATTTTTAATCCAATTGCTCTAGAAACGTGAAGAGAATAAGTGCTATTTGGGTCAATTAGTTCATTTGAGTTTCCATTTACCAATTACTTAAAACCTGAGTCGTTTACTGTGGGTCGTGGGTCCTCATGTAGCTCCTATTTTATTTGATGCCTTAGAGCCTAGATAAGTAATCATTGATAATGATATTTACATTTGATACACAAAAAGTCCTCTATACAGGTAGGTAGGTACTCTTGATAGGGTTCTCTGAATCTCGAAATGTATAAAATAAAAAAAAAACTTTATCTTTATACGATCGAGCAATAGGTCTTTACTTATTAAAAAATTATCTTATCACATAAAATTTAATTTTATTATACATATATATGTATAATAACATAAGTATATACTAATGTACTTAATTATTATATTCGTGACCTTCACGGTGATTTTACAAATAAGCACTTTTATGATGCATGTTATAAAAGAAATCCACTCTATATAATTATGGTGAAACAACGCGATAGTATAAAAAAATTGTAAACATAACGTTTAACAAAACGAGACTAATGATGTTATAATAGTTTTCATAGAATCTCTGTGAAACCAATTATTATCGTTCTCACACTGTCATATTATTATTTCATAAGATGCTAGTCTAGTGCAGCAATGGGTGTTGGGAGTATCCCGGCCTATTATACATATAAAAAATGCAACTCTCAACTTGTTTTATGCAAATGTTAAAGAAGAAAAAAAAAAGGACATAATGCAGTTGAAAAACACAATCATCCTTCTTGATAGTTGAACATACCATTATAAACTGTTTGGGTAGCGACCGACGGTGACAATAAAAAACAAATCACATTGACGTTTCTAGTGTCATTTTGAGGAAGTCTTTCAGTTTATGTTCAAATCTCCAAATCTTCAAAAAAGTTTTGCATTATTTTCCATCAATACTTACAACATTGTCCGTATAAATATTAGATATCCAAAATTATTTATTTAGTGTTTGTCAGAATGCGTATTGTTAAATGTTTGTGAGCAGTGACTCGGTTATAGACACCATCTAAGGTAATGATTAATTGTTTACTTCACGAAGACCTCAATACCTTGTTCCACGATCTTTGTTCTGTTTTCACAAACAATTTGGCGCAATTGTCTGTTTAGCGCGCTCGACCTCCTTTATTAGATTTTCATGTGTTTTTTTTTCTATGGCTATCTATATCCGATACAGAACTTTTATCAGGTTTTCTTTCTATATATTATTTCCTAGATTAATTTATCCATTCTGGATCACTTTTTCCTCAACGATATGCTTGAACCCAGTGCTGGAAAAACTGTAGATATTAGAAAATCACCTGCGCTTTTCTACAATTTTTAAGAAAGAAAGTGAAAGTAGACTAAGTCTTTCTCAAACTGCCGATTTTTGACATGTGTCCATGCTTCATCTGCTACTGCTCTGAAAAAATTACGAGAGAGTGATTTTGGAAGTGTTTGATGGCGGTTTCATACTTACATTGGTTGTAGAGGTTGCAAGTCGCGGCGGTGGTGTTTGGTGGGCAGCGTGTTGGCGGCGCTGGTCGCGGGCGCGCTGGTGGCCGTGCTGGTGCTGCAGCCGTGGGCCGGCCAAAACCACCCGCGCTTCCCGCGCGCTGCCGTCGCCGCCAATGGCTACGAATGTGCTTCTATTGGACGGTAAGTAGTACCTACGTACCTATCTGGTAGTATACTGTGTCTATTGGAAAATGTTAAACTCTAAAACCGTATAAACAATGGTTAGCTTTTCTTCCGTAACATATAACATTAAATTTTAATTATTTTAGTAAAATCCTGGAAAAAAATGGCTCTGCCGTGGATGCAGCGATAGCAACATTATTCTGTGAGGGTGTCGCGTGCGCACAATGCATGGGGCTCGGCGGTGGATTCCTCGCCACGGTGTACGACGCGCAAACTGGGCAGGTACGCGTGATCAACGCGCGCGAGAGAGCACCAGCCGCGACTCACGAGAAAATGTACGTCAACGCGTCGTCCACTGTCGGCGGCCTCGCCATCGCCGTCCCAGGAGAGCTAGTAGGCTACGGCGAACTCCATCGAGCTTACGGATCTCTCTCATGGCAAGAACTCGTCGCGCCTACCGCCGAGCTCTGCCGAGATGGCCATCGCGTCAACGCCTACATGGGACGAGTGCTCAGGACCTACAGCGACCGGATCAAAGCCGAGCCCTCAATGCGGTAACTATACAATTTACATTTTTGTCTTATTTATATGCTAACACATCAAAGAAAATGGAAATCTACTTACATACATATCACTATCATCTATTACTAACATACAATTAATTGCACTAATACTGATAAAGAATATTCTGTTGCTATGGTTTTTTAACATAACTTCTTCCAAAAGGGAGGTGTACGTGAACGCGGCGACTGGCGAGGTGTGGAACGAGGGCGATATAATAACACAACCAACATTGGCCAAAACGTTGGATATAATCGCCGAGGAGGGCCCACTGGCGATACACAACGGTTCTCTTACCAAGCAGCTCGTGCGCGATATCCAGAATTTCGGCGGTATAATTACAGAAGAAGACCTTATGAACTACAGGTGAGAAGCGAGGACATTTTATACTTCCTTATTGTAGGTACTAGTCATCAACCTTCTTCCATCCTGAACTTCAAAAACCTATAGCAGGAACTCAATAAGTCTTTAAACTATTTGATTCTATTCTTTCTAGGGTAGAGTGGCAAGATCCTATCGAGGTGCCGTTAACGGACGAATACACGCTGTACTCAGTACCGCTGCCCGGGTCAGGGTCAGTTCTGGCTTTTATGCTCAACATGCTGCGAGACTGGGTAGGAGACGGCACAGAGGCTCCCACCGGCTCCAACCTCTACTGGCACCGCATCGTAGAGACCTTCAAGTACGCGTACGCAAAGCGAACCGGCCTCGGCGACCCTTCACGCTTTAACGTCACCCATGATATTCGGGAAGTGAGTACCTTTCACACATAAGTTTAAATCGTAATCCCCCGAACTCCCAACAATCCTAAATTCCTAACCCCAAAAAGCCGGCAACGCTTAATGTATTAATGTAATGCCTCTGGGGTTTGGGATGTTAACGTTTGCTTGCTACGATCAGGAGATCTGTCTTCTCATTTGTTTGCTTATCCCATAAAAAGTTTCCTTATACAACAGATTTTTAGACAAAGATACAGGAAAACCGTTTTACAAATCTTACATGTGGCATTTCCTGTCCATCTTTATATTGATAGTATATCAATCATCAATGTTTATATCTTTTTTTAATCTGTCAGACGTAATGATACAGAAAATACAGAATACAGAACTATCGTATCAGCTCCACGCCAATCTGTTATTTAAAACTAACAGCTGTATCGCCTTATTAAGTATTGACACAACAAACATAATAAGGACGTACATGTAACAGCGCCGTATAATGTCAATAAACTCGCCAGGCGGGGGCAGTCATTCGATGATTTTCCCCCCTTAAAAAAAAAAAAAAAAAAAAAAAAATGGAGTATGCCACGCTATTCTTTCGCAATGTTTTTGTTATATAATGAACGGAACTCAAACTTTATTCTGCATAGAAGCCTCGAATACAGATGTATACTTAATAGATAGGCACCCACCTACTGTATATCTACTTTGTAACACCACTCTTCAAATGTAATAGATAGAATCGCTTCCTTACGACCAGTTCATGTCTAAAGATACTGTAATTGCCAGTCATTTCCATGTAAGCTAAATATTAAGTATTTTAAAATCACTATTTTGCGTCCTCCTCGTCTCAAGTAATGGCATCATAAGCGACGAAGCGTGACACAAGTGACGATAGAGTTTTGATAAAAACAAACTGTTATTTAACACAAGGTAGAAATTGGAAATGGCAATTCAATGAACTCTTGAATTCACATGCAAAACATGTTGTCAAACCAGTTACTTACTGCTCGAGAATTAAGGCGAGGTTTCACTCAAGTTCCGAAAACTCGTTATCGGATCACCTACACAAATATGAGGAAATTGTACCTACAAATTTCCTCATAAATTTGCAGTATCACAAAATAGATAGTGAATGTGCCACTCAACCTTATTTATGGGATAATACGTCAAACAAGAGAATTAGTCACATGATAGTAAACAATAGTCCCGACTCTGGACATTCACAACCCCAGAGGAATTACAGTAGTCAGTAAGAGTCTGACACTCTCTCTCGCTTCACACAGCCAAGAAAAGTCATTGGATGATTGTCCCCCTTAAAAAAAAAGAGAAGTTACAGTACGTTAATTGAAAAATACTGGAACCGTAAAAGGAATTTGAGAACCTCGCTCACGCAGCGAAATACAGTGAAAGCGTTGTTTCACGCCCCATTTTCTGTTAAGTATGACTACCGTCGAGCTGGCCTGTTTGTGCCGAAGCATGGCTCTTCCACGTGGATATAGATATTTCATATTACTTAGTACGTACGTAACGTGACGTAATTACATTTCAGTTGGAACGCAATCTCTCAGACCCGGGGTGGGCGCACTCGTTCCGGGACCTAGTCAATGATGACAGGACGTATTCGGACTGGGAACACTACGGCGCTCTGTTCGAAGGCGCTGACGACCACGGCACAGCTCATATCGTCGTCGTAGCCCCAGATGGCAGTGTCGTCTCGGCTACTAGCACCATTAATTATATGTAGGTACCTAAACTACATTTAAGAATTTTTAATAATGAAGATCACTTATTATCTTTATTGGAAGGATCTAACCTTTGACCTTGGCCAGTGCAAAGACTGATCTACAGGACGTGAAACTTTAAATTCCCCTAAAAAAGACACCGTGTTTGCGTTATATTACGTCATTGTGGTATTGAAGACATTGGCGTTCATATGGACGTCTACTTGAATAGACCGAAGCCCGTCTTAAGCTGAATATTGCTTTTCTTGTTTCTGAAAACTAGGTTTTTACTAACAAAAAAGACAAGCATTTTTTTAGCACTAGCAAGAAAATCAGCATTTGACATGGCATTGTGATGACTGACCAAATCCATACATTGTTATCTACATTAATATACATAAGCACATTGTTTGCAGATAAACTGAGATGAATTCACATTCGTCCAGTCAGACTGTATCAAATCCCATTGTTACGTTACCATCCGAAACAGCAATTATGTTCTATCTTTATCTCATTCCAATATTTTACAGCTGGGGCAGTCAAAGACGATCGCAAAGCTTGGGTATCATGTTGAACAACGAGATGGATGACTTTGCGATTCCCCACGTGGAATCTGCATACGGCTTGCCAGCTTCTCCTGCAAACATGCTGTCGCCTGGACTGCAACCTCTGAGCTCCATGGTTCCCAGTATTGTGATGTCGAGGAACGGCAGAGTTGACTTAGTCCTAGGAGCCGCTGGAGGCACCAAAATTACCACACAAGTCGCACTGGTAAGCATATTCTTAAAATTATTTATGTTCCGAAATAAGAAGAATACTGACTTGTGGACAAGACGTAATACGATAAGTTAATACCTACTACATCTGCGTAATGGCTCTTACAATATAAAAAGAGCAAAATCTATAAATATAAAAAAAATGTCCCACCCCACTTTTTCAGTTTGTACGCGTAAAGGCTGGAATATCATATACCTACGAAAGAAATAAGCTAATCAAATTCTAAAGCTATGATTTATCTTCCAGATGGCCCGGCATACAATATTAGAAGGTAGTGAACTTCCAGACGCTATTCAAAGGCCGCGTCTTCATCATCAGCTTCTGCCTATGGAAGTGCAGCATGAGGCAGACTTTAATCCTGTAAGTAGCACAACATCTTGCCTGTATATTCTACGAATGCCATAAATTATACCTGGTTACTTCGCATTCGAGAGGGATTCAACCAGTTTGTAATTTAAATTATAAAATTGATTTGAATTACAAAAATAGGAGTAGGTTTTACCTTTTTTTGATGGGGGAAATCATCCAATGACTTCCCCCGCCCGAGTGAAGCGAGCGAGCGAGAGGGAGTGTCAGACTCTTATTGACTAAAAAGTGCCCCGTTCCTACTCCTGCACTTCGAGCCGGAGTCCCGGTAGCCCGTTAAGCCCTCCGCGGCTCCGTATCGGCATCAGCCCTATTAGGCCCCATCTGTGGTGGTCTTGAGGCGCGCGCGGAATGCAACACCCCCGTACGCTCGGGTTTGGTACTGAATCTCGCCGTCCGCAGGCCCGTGCTTACGGTGACCGGAGATCGTAAAATAGAGGTGCCTATGATATGCTTACCGAGGGCACCCTCTAGGCTTATCGCCTCTGTACCAGAAGCGCCTTGTAGGATCGCGGTTTTAAAGATTTTCCGCCAATAAAAAGGAAATGCATATACAGATATATTTTCCTCTTTACCATAAAATCGTATAACCACATCGTAAAAATAATTTGAATATTAATAGAGACATTGTTGTGTCAACGGAAGCGGCCTCGATAGTACCATGATCACATGGTACTATCACACCACAGAATGCTAGTGATCCTCTTATTAGTACGGTAGCCAGGCCACCAAGTCAACCTATCCTTTTCTGTCAAATTACATCCTCAACCCATCATTGGGGGATTGACATAAAGTCAAAAATCCAATGAATAAATTAAACAAATTGTGATAATACATATAAGAATAAATAAGTTAATAGCAGTCATTATGTTAGTAAATATAGTAAATATAGTACCTATATTATAATCATACTACATATCATGTACTAGCAAACCCGGCGAACACCGTTTCGCCACCAGATAGCTTCATTTTATATGTAACATTTCGTTTGGTGATTAAAAGGAGAAGAAAAGACTTTTCTTGAATATAAACCTCACGGAGACCTTTCCAATGAATGCAAAACCGTGGAAATCGGTTCGTGCGTTCTGGAGTTATAGCGTCAGGAAGAAAAACCTTATTAAAGACTTATTTTTATATATATTAGATTATCTTGTTATAAATTAAATTGCTGCACCCTAACAGGGTAATATACTGAATTAATTGTATGTAATACTTCTTATTATATGTTTCATTGTACATTGTGGAATATGAATAAATAAATTCCAGTAAGTTGGTCTGCTAGCCACTATACCTTCAACATAATACTAATAAACGTCAATATAATTATAAATTATTTTATGGAAATGGTATACCGTAGTATCTATTTATTTATAATGCATTAAAATTATGAGACAATGATAACAGTCAGCAGGTAATTTCCTTTGAAATGTACGAAACGTGATGTCATCGCGTCGATTGCCTCGTGCGCTATAGCTTATGAACCTAGTCGTTACTTTAAATGCCTAACTGTTCAAGTTAATTTATCTTTAGTGCCTATTTACTTAGCGTTACTTCCTTGTATAAGTACCTATCTTTATTGTAAATACGATTTACGTATTTTTTCTATGGATTTTCCAAAAGAAACACTCGAGTGGTCATGCCATTTTCAATTAGCTTTTGTCAGTTGTAGGTAGTCTTTCATTGAATGATACACGCTATAATTGATTAACTAAAAACACTAACATTTTTCAAAGAAATTTGCGTGTCTATTATGACTGGAAGTTTGTTTAAATTGCTGGTCTATGAATGCGCTTAGCACGCAGTTTATACAAACTAATTATCCTATTTTCCGCTTTGATTCATTCATAATATTATGTCGCAGTCGCACAATCAAGTGCAAAAATACTTTGATATATAGATATTTTGATCTCTATGTATCTATGTTTATCTATTACTTAAAATAGGTTTGATGGCTTATCGTAATGAAAAAAATGTAATTTGGCAATTTAACAAGATATCTAGGTAATCAGTAACTTTGAACCTATGTTTGCAGCGACAAAATATTTTTGTGTTAGTACGTAATGGTACTATGGTACCTAATGGTAATTATGTCTATGCTAATAAGCGATTTAAAAGTTTGAATTTTATTACATTCATAAAATGAAAACCGATGTAGGAAAATTGATCTCAATAAATAAGAGTAGGTAACTTTCATTTTTTCTACTATGTACTTTTATTTAAACCGGTACTCATTGCGACAATCCAATGACTCGGACAAATTACGCAATGTAGCGTGATGGGCAGGTGTTTAGTTCAAACGACAATAAATAATGTACGGCCTATTCAGTGTCCATGGACAACAATGGTTGACGTGGTCAAACGGAAAAAGTGACTAGCGATGCTCTCCATTACATGCTCTGAATAATAATCATGGACAAATTACTTGATATCTGTCATCTATGAGCAACATAGAATGACTAAAAATTGCTATAAATCAAGGTCCTATAGACTTACAATCCCTACCTACCCAGATATTTTCGTTGTAGTTACTATATTTAGGTAGGTAGAAAAATAAGTTTCTACTAATCGATGCGCTAATCGTGGGAAACTGATTTTTATTGTTCAATGTTGTTTATCGTCATTTTATCAAACGATGGCAGAAATTTTTACATAACTACCTGCTTTTTAATGGAGATACAAAGTCATGCGCAGTAGTTACCTACTCTTGATTTTCGCAACAGGAAAACGTAAAATTTTATCATGTACGTAACGTTATCAGTTTACGTTGTTTATTATCTTTAAAATAGGCCAGCCGTATTAAAGATTTCATATGTAGGAAGTGTCCATATCTATTCTAATTTTGCTACATTGACGGGCAATGTGCATCCTATTTATTTCATTTCTTTTTAATGTGTTAAAGCTGAAAACGGTGCGGCCTTTTGTTTCCAAGCCACGTTGAGTCATCGTTTTCTCACCGCTCTCATGTTTTAAAAATAATATCCACCCAAGACCTAAATTACTATTAAACGAAGGCTAACGTTCTTGCACTTACACAAAATGGATCAATTAGGAATCTACCTAGAGCTGTTTTGTAAGAAAGGAATTGACTTCTCCCTCCTTGATAGGAAGGAGTGTCAGGCTCTTACTTATATTTTACTGACTAAAAACTACCTCGTTCTTACTGCTGCTCTATGCGTTATTCTAGGAAGTGTCGCCAGTGACCCCAACATGGTACTTAGGACCATATATAACTGTTCTAACAATAAATATATTTCTCTCAACAGGCAATTATCGAGTCACTCCAAAAGAAAGGGCATGCGACTACAGAACTGGGACCTACAGCTGGATTCGCTGCAATGGTGGCCGCTGCCAGAGACGCTTACGGCTATTTAATACCACAAACCGACCACAGACGAGTTGGCAGCATCGACGGATTCTAAATTTGAAATGTTAATTCAAAGTGACTGATAATAGTGTTACACTTTACAGTGAGGTGTGATCAATGTAGATCGTATTTTTTTTTTATTCGACAACCTCAATTTCTTGTCATAGTCTTTCGTTGCGACTTACAACTCACTCATTATAATTCGTAACGGCAATCAATGATTTGAATCACGAAGATTCAAAATTGTCCGGTATTTATTTGTAACAAGAACGGACCGTGAAAACTTAAATACTTAAATAGAAGCTTAATTAGGTATAGACCATAATGTCATCTATCGTTGTTATGTAGTAGGTGTTATACTTAATAATATGTATGTATAAATTTAATGTATTATATACTATGCACCTACTAAGTGCTAACGTACGTAATGTGCCTATGTATCTACCTACATAAGATCTTTCTCATCATGGAAACCTCTACTTCTACTAGTTACTTTTTGTTAAATTTCTTTGGATATGATCCAAGTGGAAATCGATTGTGATATTATGTTTTATGATGGTGAATTTCTGGTTTTAAGTATTATTTTGTTATAGAAATGTATTTAAGTTGCTGTGATGTTTATGTATTGTTATTCGTGAAATAAATGGTTTTGATGGTACAAGTATCTATGTATGAAATTGTTTATTTTCATTTGTATCTATACGCGACGGTGATACTTATTACTGTTGTATGTTGTTCTTTGAAGCATACAGGTAAGGAGAGTAATCTCAATACCATAAAAAGTTCACTAAAATGTGTTGAAAGATGGTTTAAAGTAAAAAACGCCTGTGCGCCATATTCCCTAACACTTAACTAGCTGTTCTCCGCGACTTCGTCCGCGTAAAATAATGCCTTCTAACAAATTCTGGATTTTTTTATTAGTCTTCTCTAATGTTAATTGTAATGCTGTGTACCAAATAACATCATGATCAATTTACTTTTTTTGTTTTTCACGAAATGTTTATTTTCGTGATTTCAAAAAATAAACAATCCCACGGGGATTTTACTCGTATAGTAGGTATCCATTCCCGTGAGGTTTCTCCAACTCCATTTGAATTCCAATCAAATAGGTACAGCGGTTTAAAACTACCAGGCATCATTTTTGAGTCTCAAACTATCGTTGTAGGTACCAAATTGCACTCAAATAGGTTCAATAGTTTAAGCAATAGTGAGTCCCGGAATTATAACGCATAGTTCTTGTCCCATGAGATTTCCTTTTGCAGTGCCAGTCCAGTGCACTGATATGATAAGAATAATAAATCTATGGTCCAGTGTCTCAAACTCTCGTTGAACTGAATTTCAATCAAATAGGTTCAGTGGTTATTAAAATTAGTATTCAGCCTCTTTTAAAAATCAAATTTTTCTCTTTAAACTATTAGTGTAGGTAGAGTGTAGATAATTAGATACTTTTTGACGCCACAGCTACAAAAGGATAAAAGCAAGAACGTAAACAACAAAAAAATAGTAAAAAACCAAGGGTCTTACCCCTTGGTTTTTACCATTACATTAATGAATTCATGAAATAGCTGGATATAATAATCAATAAGTTAAAATAGTAAAAGTAAGCAAAATAGTACTGTAATTAGTACTTAGAAGTATTATGGCTACAGTAGCGCTACCTATCTAGTCCGAGTGACACTAATCAGAATCTAGGCCAGATGCGATAGTTTCAATGTTTTGAAATTAAGAAATGAATAGAAATATACCTAACTGCATCTGCAATGTACATTTTCTAATTACCTACAATCCGTACTTAACAGGAAACAGTTCATAGACAATTCGCAAGAAAAATCTCTATGGTCGCACTACGCTATAGTCTGTGGAACATTTTCTCAATTCAAATGTCAAATGTCACTGTCATCAATAATTTCGCGCGCCTCCGAAAAACCGGCAGTAGAACGTTGGAATACTTTTATATTGTGCATTATTTCTTTGTGTTTACCATATAAATTAATATTTGATTGTGCTTATAAAGACTTATTTGGTGAACTGTAAACATTAATTGGTTTCAAAATGGGTCATCAATTATCTGAAGGCTCTTTGGAGGTAAGTTTTTACGGCACAATAATACACCCTGATCTCTAATCGGTGTAAATCATAATAATAATACGTAATCGTTTTATTTCCCTCTGTACAAGCTATAATTCAATACATTTCATGTAACTTAAACGTAAATTAAGGCACTTGAGAGAAGACACTTGATGACAATCGAACAGGTTGCAACCTGTTTATACATGTTGTAATTTATTACAAAGTAAGATAAAGCTTATTCAATGCTTTGCATGGAATGAAAAATTAACGCTACAATAAACAACATTCCTCAAAATATTGACTTGACTTATATTTGTTCGTTGTCCAACCAGTGCACCAGAATTCACTATAATCATACCCCAGTAACTCTGCCATTTAAGATTCTCAACCTCTTTGTGTACATGCGATCTAATTAGCATTTTACTTCTAAAACTCGGGCTTTAAGATGATCCACTGATGAAGCACTAATTTCAGGTGATAATGAACGGAGGAGTGTATGATAAACCAATAATGCAAGTACTAGGGAGTAAGAAGATACAAGGCAGTGGCGCTAATGAAAGGTTCCGTCTACTTGTGTCTGATGGGAAACACTCGCACAGCTTTGCTATGTTAGCCACACAACTAAACGATAAACTGATATCTGGAGAACTGTCTGACTACTCTGTGGTTCAGATTGATCGTTTTGTCACTTCATTACTGAAAAATACTGGCAAAGGAGAGAAGTAAGAATATCTTTGTATTATGTGTTTTTGTACTATGCTGCTAAGGTTGATTTATGCTTGAAAAACATTAGATTGATAATGTTTAAAAACAATTTTCTACAGTTATAATATTAATATATTAACTCTAATTTTATTCTTAATAGACGAGTGATGATCATCCTAGACATCACAATAGTAACTCCTGGGAATGAAGTTGGAAAAAAGATTGGGAACCCTCAGACGTGGAGCGAGGAGTCGGCGGGAGCGGCGCCCGCGCAGGCCGCACCGGCGCCCGCGCCACGCCCGGCTCCATCTCCCGCAGCCAAACCTATGATCACTCCAACACCAAACCTTGACTCCAGTCTGCTGTCTACACAGATGACACACCCCATTGCTAGTCTTAGCCCCTACCAAAACAAGTAAGATGCTTAAACTAAATATAGAAATTTTTAACTTGTTATTTCCTACTCAGCTGAAGCAATTGTAATGTTTATGTTACATTATCTTTTATGTAATGTTTTTTTTTTTACTTTGAAATATGAAGCAGATAAAATAGAGATTATTATTATTTTTTATTTAATTCAGACAGGCAGTTGAAACAACTGATAAATGTCTGTATCGTATTCTTCTATCAGTGGTTAATTCGATGTTGTGTATCTGTCAAGTCTGTTTTTGAACTGGTTAACATTCTGTGCAGCGATTACATATTCTGGAAGCCTGTTCCATGCTCCGACCACGCGATTACTCAGAAATTGTCTGTGAGGAATATTTTTCGATAAGCTTTTACACAGCTTAAGGTGGTGGCCTCTAAGATGAACGTTTTCATTACGTGAGAACAGTTGCTCGAAATCAGTAATGTCATAATGTCCACTCAAGATCTTGTATGTCTCAATTAGGTCCCCACGCTGCCTGCGATCCTTCAATGTGGTTAAGTTCAAAACCTTCAAGCGCTCTTCATATGGATGCTGTTTCAGTGCTCGTGGTATTTTGGTAAAACTACGCTGTACTTTTTCCAAGTGTTCGATATCCTTTACGAAGTAGGGGCTCCAGACCTGAAATGCATACTCTAGGACGGGCCTGACGAAAGTTTTGTGGATCTTAAGCATCATCTCCGGAGTCAAGACACCGAACGCTTTCCTGATGAGGTATACAAGACTCTTGGCTTTTTTGGTGATCGAAGTTATGTGCTCTTCCCACTTTAGATCCTCGGTAATCTTTACCCCTAAGTCTGTTTGCACCTTGACCCCTGTCAGTTCAGCGTTACACAGTTTATATGTCAGACGAGGATTACTGGTACCTATATGCAGTACCGTACATTTAGAAGCGTTGAGGTTGATGAGCCACTCCTTGGACCAGTTTGCTATTCTGTTTAAGTCCTCTTGAAGATGGTTATAGTCAACTGTCGGATCCGCAAATATTTTAGTATCATCAGCAAATATGCTGACTTCACATCTCAGGCAACTGGGAAGGTCAAATGTGTATATTATATACAACACTGGGCCCAATACAGACCCTTGGGGCACTCCGCTATGCACTTCTCGATGTTCTGATAATGTCTCACCGATTCTTACTCGTAAAGTTCTTTGCCGCAAAAAGGATTCGATCCAGCTCAGTAGTTTTCCGCGTATTCCCACGAATTCCAATTTCTGCAGCAGCCTACCTGTGGGAACTTTATCAAAGGCTTTTTCATAGTCTAAGTAGATTACGTCTATAGGTTTTTTTTCATTGAACTTCTTTGTCCATGATGACAGGCTCGACAGCAAGTTAGAAACTGTAGAACGATGCGGGCAAAAACCATGCTGCTGTTGTGGAATGACTTGATGGTTGGTGAAAAATTTCCTGATGTGCTTAACTATAATTTTTTCCATAGCCTTGCAAACCACGCTAGTTAAACTTATTGGTCTATAGTTTGAAGGTTCCAGTTTACTCCCTTTTTTGAATATGGGGGTGACTATAGCCGATTTCCATAGATCTGGCAACATTCCAGTATCATAAGACGTTTGCATTATCATTGCCAGCTGCTCCGAAAGGTCACACTTTTTGAGTAATACTACAGGTATATTATCTGGTCCCGGTGAAGAATCGGTTTTCATTTCTTTGATTACTTGTTGGATTTTACTTGGAGTGAATTTTATTGCTTCAATGGATTCCTCAACTCTTAGTAACGGGTTCAATGTAGGTACTTGATTTAGTGGCTCTATTTGAAAGACACTTGCAAATTGTTCCCCAAATACGTCAGCTATTTCTTGAGGCTCGATTACAGTTCGACCTTGCTTGTTTAGTAGAACATTTGGTATGCCAACCCTTGATGTTACCTGTTGCCTGATGTAGGAGTAGAATTTTTTTGGCCCAGCCTGGAGTAAATTTGTTTCGTATGTTATACGTGCTGTTCGAGTTTGGTTCATCAATTTATTATTTAATTTTCTGTAATCTTTATAGTGTTTATTGATTTGATTGTGATACAAATACATCTACATCTAAGACAGACACTAATAAAATTCACATATGATATATTCTAAGGCCACAAAATTCCAAAATGACATATTCCAGTAACATACTGCTTTTATATGAGTCCAATAAGACATTAACTTGTAATTTTTACCAGATGGGTAATAAAAGCCCGTGTGATGTCCAAGTCTGATATCCGCACTTGGAACAATGCTCGAGGAGAAGGCAAGCTCTTCAGTATGGACTTGTGTGATGATAGCGGTGAAATCCGGGCTACGGCCTTCAAAAATGAATGTGACAAGTTCTATGATATGATACAGGTAGGCAAGAAAAAAGGTTTTCATTATACTCTGTATGTTTGCATGATTATTTATTTTCTTGCTTTTAAAATAATCATCAATTATGGTTACTGAGTGATTTGTTTGTCATCTAATATGTTTTATTTTTCTTA